CTCTACCAGGAATCCGGAACCTCAAGACGTTACCGAAAACCATCAGAGAAATGGTATCACCGACCAATCTGTATTATATTTGCCAAGATGTTAAAATTCGCGAGAGAACCTGGTGCGGTTTTTTTAATGTTATTCTTCATTTGTGGGTGGTCGGAGCTCTATTTGCGTCTTTTTGTACTTAAATATAAGAAAATACATTGCATTTTTGGGCGAGATAAAACTTTGCTGAGACTTCGGTCAAAATATGTGTCACTTGAATGCTCATTGGTGTAAATGTTATAATTTTTGGCAACAATTAAAGTACATGTTGTGCATATTTATTTTTCAAGCTAAAATCAAATGATTATTAATTGCATGTTATCCTTGTGTTTATTTTCTTTTTTACATAATTTATGCCTATGTTTACAATAACAAAAAATCAGCAAAAAATAAAAATTTATGTTTCTTTTAATTTAATTTTTAAAGTTGTCGAATTCTTTTTTTTTTTTTTTTTTTTTTTTTTAGAAATGTTTAGTATTTAAAGAGGAATAAAATGTTTAACTTCATACAATAGAGAGAGGGGTGCTCGTGTCTGTCATTGTTACAATGAGATTAGAGGGATCGTTTGACATTTTAAACATACATTGGAGTGTTTTCATACTGTTTGTTGACGATTGCTTTAAATATTTGCCTTAGACTCGCGCCTTTATCAAAATATTATAAACTTCCTCAAATAAGCAACTGCCTAATAGCATACACAACAGCAACGGAATGTATTGAAAAAATACATCAGTTTGTTTAAATGCACATGAATACATGTATATATTTCCAAGAATCTTTTCCGAGTAATATTACCATTGTGACGCAATCTTTAGAGGTAATTAGTGTTTATTTCTTCCAATTGTTCGTCTTTTTCATGTTTTTTATTTCATTATTAAGAATTTGCAAAAGTGGAAAGAACTTCAAAAAGAATCCACACTTATAAGTGACGGGAATTTTTTTCTTGGTATATAGTCAAGGATTTCGATGAAATTTTGACGTTGAATAAAAGAGATTCACACTGGTCAGGTTGTTGAACAAGCCGCCCCATCCCTTAAATCCGGAATTCCTGAATTTGTCAACATTTATTTTTTTGGTATTTAACCTTTATAACCCCAAATTTTTATTTCTTTTTAAAACAAAAAAAAGTCAAATAAATTTCCTACGAAGAGAATATATGTGTGTTTCTTGTGAGTTTTGTATAATCGCTTTTCAAGTACATGTACTAGTATTGAAAATTGAAAATATATATATAAAAAAATCAGTATATTTTGTAATTTAAAATAAATCGTAAAAATAAAATTCCGATATTTTCAAACTTTTCTTTTAATTCTTAATCTCAGGTGCATTCAATAAACATGAATCGACCTTTCGAAGCCAGGCCATGACGGTTAGATAGAAATCCCCAGAATAATGTCATTTTCCGCGAACGCTGATCGTTTATTTATATTCAATCATTTCAACGGGCTTAATTAGTGCGATATGTTCACGAACTAAGAAAAATTGGAATATAATAGCATCCATTAGAAAAATTAATTGGTTTCGAATGCGGTGCTCTGAAGTGAAGACTACGTATTAAGAATCAAAGAATTTCAGAAGAGTTTGATCTGTTGTGAATTTTAGATTGACCAAAAATTGGCGAAATTATGAATACGGGCAGGATTTCTGGTTTTACAGGTGGACTGTATTATCTCTTCACCTTTCGTTGCCAACTTTTTTCCTCCACAGAAATTCGTCGATGTGTAATTTCTCTTTCTGAAAGCGACGATAGAAAAGATCGACGTCGGATGCAAGTGTCATACCACCCAAAATTATTAATGGATATTTTGCAACATCTCGTGGCATGAGGGAATAAATTTTCAAATCAATGTGAAATAATATATTAGTACCCATTTTTCAAAAAGTGCAAGTTAAACGTTTTTTTTTTTTATTTTTTGTAAATTATAACTTCAAATGTAAAATTGAAATCAATGACGCATAAAAACAAATACAATGTAGATGTACATTTTTAAATTAAATATTTCTTTCTGTGTACAACTTTAAAGGTGCTCAAAAATAGTCGAAAATACATTTTCAATCATAGAACTAATATTTTATGCTCTCTCTCTCTCTCTCTCTCTCATGGTCGAAAGGGAAAAAAAAATAAATTCAATACACTACTATTTCCTTCTGCCTCTTACATGATTGAAGAATGGGATTTCCGTAAAAATAGGAAGAGGATATTTTAATTGACCACTGATCGCTTCTAATCTTTACTTTAAATATTAATCAAGCAATTTTACTCATGTACACTTGTAAAGATATAAATATTGAGTTACAGTTGAGTTACAGTTCATTTTCAACATAAGGTACTTACCTCATTTCCCCAAGAAAAAAAAATATTAGTGAATAGAAATAAAGTATTAGTGAATAGAAATCATGGTCTTACATATTTGTAAAACTTACAATATTTATTCATTACTTTATTTTGGTCTATTATAATATTAGGAATCCTTTTGTCAAGAATATATTATGTCTTTGACTGTAGATTCCAGTTTTCGGCATCTTAGGACAGTCTGAAAGTACATAAAGTATATAAAAAGAAAAATCGACACAAGTAGCAAGATGCAGAAGAACATTGTGCTTTATAAACTTGATCTGTGCAATTTATCTGAGTTTAATATTTCTTTTTTCATTAATCATTTTTTTACCAAGTGGATAATTAGAAAAATTGGCAGAATAATACACCCAAAAACTGCATCCTCTCCGCACCTACCACCAACGTTGTTTTAAGCGTTATCACTCAGCAAGCTCATAAAAAAGCATATGAAATCTTTATTAGGAACTATAAATGTCTTTTAGAAAAGTCATTATGCAACGCGCTTCTTTTGTATCTTTCTACTTATGTCGGCTCTATTACACATATATTGAACAATTAATTCACTAAAGACCCATCTGACTTCGTGTGCGGTTTCAGATTTTCGTTGCATCCTCTTCGGATTAGAAAGACATTTGATAAAACTTGCATAAAAATTTAGGATCATGCAAAAATTCTCACGACAAAATTCTTGATAAAATAGACTGTATCTGCAACATCCAAATTTTCATTCGCTTGTCAAAGTGTTTGGCTAATTTATGAAATAGAAATGGTAGAGATAGAGAACAGCAGGTCTCGGTGTCAATGACGTCACACGAGAGATGACGAGAGATAGCGAGATTCTTGCAGAGAACAGCGAGTCGTACAAAATATTATCTGTTCACAATCGGATTACAGAACAGAAATGAGAGTCATCATGGAGATGTGATCTGAACATGCCAAAACTGTGATCATGTCTGTATATTCGGCATTTGAATTGTGCCATCAAAAATTTATCCCACATTAAAATTTCAAAACAATTAAAAAAAAAAAACAATATAAATTTTTTAATGAGGCATCAAACATTATGAAAACAACATAACTCACAATTTATAGTTACTGCACGGAACAATTATGAAAATGTTTAACAGAACGGGTCTTTTGTTGTTTACCTTTCCATGCTTAAAATTATAAATATTGTATATTACACATTGTTTTTTTTTTAAATCCAGATTACCACTAGCAAAGGTAAACAAGAATGAAATATTAAGACCAAATTATTTTGGATTCATATACTAATATCTCTGAAATCAGAAGAATAAAATAACAGACAAGTACATTTAGTTGAATGTTATAAAAAATGAACGAAAAATTTGTACACTTGACCTGCTAAACGTAAAACGTCTTATTCGGAAATCAAAACCTACATTCGTTTATAAGATCCGTCAACTTCTTTTCCTTCAAAAATGACATATACAATATGCTCTCCTTTACACGTGGCGAAAGGAAAGAGAAAATTAAAGTGGAAATTTTCCAGAAATTTGAAGTAGAGAGCAAATAAATAATATTGCGATATGCGGAAGTCAATTGAAAATAGTTCAGAATTTTCGATTCTGTTTTATTTATTAAATTATAATTTACAAAACAAGTACTTTGATATTGTAGTTGCAATTATTATGTTTTTTTAGCAAAGAAATATATAAATAAATGAGTTTTTAAAATAATATAAATAGATGTAATTTTTTTTTTATTCTTTAAATGATTTTTTATGTGTATATATTTTTTCAGAAATCTCTCTAGCTAGAGAAATTTTGAATTAAAGGGAAAAAATGAAAAAGGGAATGTACAAATAAAACAATAGGTCAAAATGCCCATCTATATAAGGCTTCAACGGTATAAAATGACTTTCAATATGTGAGTGTTGTATATATTCAGAGGAGTAAAGTTTTTTTTTACGTGTATGATATATGACAAACACAACTGTTCTGAGTAAAATTCTTTCAGCAAAAATTATTCAATGCTATATACTCTTATTTTCAAACACAATTGTGCAGATTGTGAAGATTTTACATAAAGTATAATTATGTCAATCTATCAGTTCAATGAAAAATCATGAAAAGTGAGTTATAATTACGGTCTAATATTTTCACTTTCTTGCATCATAGGCATTTTGCCCTCGTTGTTCGGCCATCTCCTTAAATAATCAGAAAAGTGAATAATTTTCAATTCATTTTGTTTTGTATTGACAAATAGAGTAAGTCAGAGAAACTCATTTTTGTAAAAATTGTCAAAATATTTTGAAACTGTTAAGAAGTACATCATGTATGAAATTCTTGAAAATATTTAAAATTCGGTGTTAACTTTTGTTAGTTTTCATTGAATTGGATTTTCAAATTTAAATAAAATCATTAATTTCTATATTGATATTCATAATATATTCTTTCAAATGAAGGAAATTAAGGGAACTTTTGGATTTTTTTTTATATCAATTAGAATATTCATCCACAAAAAATTATATTAAAAAAAATAAATGTCGCTTCTTTAGTAATTTACATGCTGGTTTTGCGTTATCTTGCATTGTGTGGCAATGTTGCATATTGAATTACTCCTGCTGCAGAATCTGGTTGTTACTGATAAATCGACGGGAACGAGCTCCGCCTACCAAATTAACATTCCACCAATCAGCGCAAAGAACGTCTGAGAGTCAAGCAGCATCAATTTGATGCTATAATTCCCGGCAAATTATGCATAAAATCGGAATTTGGATGTACTATTTAATCAAACATGATCACAAGTTTATGACGTTATCACCGATAGAGAAAGGAAATCTACAAATTCAATACTTATATTTTTACTGTAATAATCTATAATGTGTCGGCTGGACTAAAAGGTACAAAAAGGAACTTTTGGCTTCTATGCGTTGTGTGTATATTAGTATATTTATTTGTGTGAACTCTCCAGATAGTAGAATATCGGTCAGTTTACTATAGGGAACGCGAAATAATAAACAACATGGAAACTGCTACAAACCTTGTCGATAGTAAGGACATTTCTACAAATCTCCAAGTGCTGCAAGACGTAGGAGGAAAAATTATTCCGAAAGCCGAACCCGAAGCTTGTGACAATGAAGCATCATCCGATGACGACGAAGATGACTCTTCCGAGGAAACACCGACTACAACGACCACCGAAGAACCGAATCAGAAGGACACCAAAAAGGCAGGAGTCGGTGTCAGACGACAGGAAAAACCTCCGTATTCTTACATCGCCTTAATAGTAATGGCGATACAAGCGACACCAAACAAACGATGCACCCTAAGTGAAATATATAATTTTCTACAACAAAGATTTCCATTTTTCAGAGGTGCATACCAGGGATGGAAAAACTCAGTTCGACATAACCTTTCTTTGAATGAGTGTTTCATTAAATTACCAAAGGGACTGGGCAGGCCCGGAAAAGGACATTATTGGACCATTGATCCTGCCGCAGAATTTATGTTTGAGGAGGGTTCTTTCCGGCGTCGCCCAAGAGGATTCCGTAGAAAGTGTCAGGCCTTAAAACCCTTCGGAATGATTGGAATGAATGGGGTGACGCCAACTGGGACCCCAATGTTAGGACCACATTATGACTTCTTTCAAAATACTAACATGAATTCAATGAACATGCAATGTGCTGTGAACTCTTCTCAACCGTATGACACTTCGGGAATGATGACATCACAACCAACAGGACTTCATCCATCTACTTATTCCACTGTCCAGCAGTATAACCAAAACTGTAGCTTTAATCTACCTGCAAGTGGACGATTTGGGTCCAGTTGTGCCATGTCCGGACTTGAGGGGGATTATGTTCAGGGTGGTCCTGCTAGTAACCTCCCACTTTATGACAGAGACCATAACATGCAGGGACTTTCCATGGCGTGGACAACACAACGTTTTCCGAAGCAGCAGCCACTCAGTCCAGCAGGAAGCACGGGTTCTGTTCCCAGTATATCCCCATCCGGTTCCGGGGAGCCTACGTCATACGTCACAAACACATTAACGACATCAGAACCCATGGATTTAGCACTTGCAGGTATTTATTTTTAACAAACTAAATTCCAAAACCCATTAATTAAGTCCCTATGTCAAATGAGAAATGTTTTAATTGCAAAAAATTGCGTTAGTTTTAGGGTGAAAATATTCATCCTTCTTATCAAATTTTTGCACGTTTTAAACCGCCACATCAATTAGTTAACTAGGGAACAGAAGTAACTCAATTATCGCCAGTTTTTGCAGAGAAACTGACATCTTTTTGACACAACTCACGAGGAAACATTCCACAACCCGAAAAAAAAATTACAAAACAGTAAAAAAATGTTTCCCTTCACGTGTGAAGGATTATCGCGTTTGTATTTACTTTACTTTTCATACAAAGTATGGATGTAGAAAAAATGTGGTTGAAATACTAGGTAAATCCCTCTAGATATTATGTGTCAAAACCAATTGCGAGACATGTACTATAAATTTGGTCTCTCTTTTCTCAAATCAATGCAACAATTACTCTTTTTCTTACAGAGAATTATTTAATGTATGTTTGATAAAAACCATAGATACAGTGTCTTGAAATGCCATTTGAAACAATTTTTATGCGCAACTTGTATAATTTTGTTGTTCTAAAAAAATAGTTATATTTTATACTGAACACGCATTATACAAATTTAAATGAAAAGTATTTGCTAGAAGATTTGTTCCCCAATCAGTAACTTACGTGTCTGTCTGTTAATGAGCTAAAAGAGATAATTATCGACCGCGTCTAATGAATTAATTCCCAGATCTGGTCGGTGATACAGATGGCATGGCTTTATCTTTTACCGTGGCAGGAGTCAGTTTCCCCAGGTTATTCCAATGTTAGGTTAATATTTTAGTTTTTCTCTTAATAAGTTTATATTTTAATTTAACAATTACAATTAACACACTGAACTACTAATTGAATTTAAGCGCTTTAAAAGTTAAATTGAAGATAACATCGATGCCTAACCTTTTTCCAGATTCATATTTACCCTTAATTTTAACACAGAAACAAAAATAAAACTGCCGCTTGATTTGTCTACAATAAAACAAACAAACAAAACAAAAAGAAAATTAAACTTATATATTCAAAGTTGGTTGAAATTAAATTTCTTTTAATATAAGTATACAAATATTAAAGAACGCAAATGTAATAAATCACGGAATCACCCGCTGTTTTGTTACACACTTGTTAATTTAATCAACACTTACGAACTAAAGTACCAGAGTGCCGTATGGGTCCCATAATCCCTTCGGGCGTGTCACAGGTCGGGATCGGTATGGTTGTGTCCGTGTCATTCCCGTTATAGATGTAATCACGGACGCAATCAAATCCATCGTTTTATTTGTGATATACAATGTATTACTGAATGGACAAATGCTTCATATACTTAATAATGAGAAGAAATACTGTAGCCTAGGATAAACGTGTAATCTGTTTCATATTTACATCTCTATTTATCCTCGAACTTCATAATAGGTTGCACAATTTAAGCTTTTTCCGTAATTTAAATTAATACTTTCTTTAGACACTAACATAAATAATTATCATCAAATATTTTTAAGTTTTATAAAATAATATTTATTTGTTTTTCATGTTATAATAATGATACTATTAACTTGACGATCACAAAATGATTCCTTCGGGGAATAAACAACATATGCTCAATTTCAATTGTTAATCAGATTTTTTTTTAAAAATTAAAATTAGATTTAAAATAGTAAATCTTGTTTCATTTCCTAGTCAATTGTTAAATATCTGGCTAAATTACAGATTGACTGAGTTTATTTATTTTTTTTTAAAATGAAGTTTCAGCTAGTGGGATAGAATGTATCCGTAATCTTTTTTCTTCATACATACGTATGGTAACAATTTTCTAACATTTTTTACAAGAAAAATCACTATGGTATGACATGACGCTTCTGTACAGGAAAAACACGCATACATTTACTTTATAGAACAAATGCATAGTACAAAAAAAGTATGGCGCCTCTCTGCATGTTGATAAGTTAAAACTTTGAAAACAAATTATAAAACATATATACGATAAACAGGTAGGCACAGAGAGAATGAATATAATTTTTATTTATAAACTTAAAAGCTCAATGCAAAAAATTCAATATGCAATATCTATATGTATATAACGTAATTCCATAATGCATGCAATCAGAACAATGTTCGCTATGAAAAATATTATACCACATTTACTTTGGCGATTAACTGTGAAAATCAAACATTGTTGATTCTTGGTAGTGGATAATTTATTAGTCTTTTAATGTTCGCCCCCTGGGAGTCCAATGGAGGAAGCGTCCGCTTCTTACTGATCGCTTCATGATAATTCATCAGGACTATCAATGCTTCATTTCTGGTGTCCGATCTTCACCGTGGGGATTATTTATTTATTCGGAGGGGTTAAGTAAACTGCCTTTCTCCTGGCCGATACAGAGACTTACATAACCAGGGACCTCTTTAGATTGTAGATTAAAGGACGGTCTGAATACAGATCTAAAAGCTCCGTGGATGTTCGGCATTTCACAGTTTTTCTTTACGGATAAGAATCACTCATTTTCCAATCAGAAATGATGATTCGTGAGAGAATGTTTAGGAAAACAACATCATTATGTTCCCCAAACGGAGTTTGGGAACATATTGTTTTTACTCGGTTTCTTATTATTATTATTATTTTTTTTCTTATTTGTTCTCCGGTACTTTTTTGTCCGCGAGTGTTCTCAGAAACTGTTCACCAAACTAAGTTAAAACCTTTTTAGGGTTAATGGGTGTGTAGTGTAGGTGTGCGGAACGAAGGTCATTTTGCGCGCATACGCCTGCACGTGCGGGCGCGTGAAATGAGTAAAATGACAGATATACTTAAAATAGCCATAACTTTTACATTTTTTAATGAAATGTTTTGAAACTCATTATATAAGGATATATTGATAGTGTAGATAATATGGCAATGTCAAATTAGCAAGAACTCACGCGCATGCACGTGCGCTTCGCTCTGATTGGCTGAAACAAAAATCTCAATATCTTTTCTGTTTCTTGACGAAATGCTTTGAAATTTTGAATATAGTCATGCCTTAGGATATGCTACAATTTGATATATAGAAATTTTCATGAAAACACGCGCATGCACGTGCGCTGAAATCTGATTGGCTGAAACTTTCAATGGCTATATCTCCTTTGTTTTTTGATGAAATGCTTTGAAATTTAAAATATAGTCATGCATTAGAATATCCTACAATATGATATACAAAAAAATTTCAAGAAATCATGCGCGTGAACGTGTGCTGCAATTTGATTGGCTGAAACTTTAAATGGCTATATCTCCTTTGTTTTTTGACGAAATGCTTTGAAATTTAAAACATAGTCATGCAATAGAATATTCTACAATATGATATACAAAAAATTTCAAGAAATCATGTGCGTGAACGTGTGCTGCAATTTGATTGGCTGAAACTTTAAATGGCTATATCTCCTTTGTTTTTTGACGAAATGCTTTGAAATTTAATACATAGTCATATATTAGGATATCCTGCAATATGATATACAACAAATTTCAAGAAATTACGCACATGCACGTGTGCTGCAATCTGATTGGCTGAAACTTAAAATGGCTATGACTCCCTTGTTTTTCAACCAAACAGGATGGGATTTAGAATCTAGATAGATATAAGGGCTTCCTACAAGAAGGTATGGTCATCATGCACGTGCACGCACGTGCGTGCATTTAGAACGAGTGAAACTAAAAATACACTTGAATGAGTGTTTTTTAATACTTTTGGACTAGATGCTTTAATATATAATATATTTAAATATATAGAAAGTGTAGACAAGATGATATGATCATTGCACACGTGCATTCACATGCGCACACGTGCAATGTTAAAATTTGAATATTATTGGTATCCTTCATGGAAAACGTTTTTAAAGTCAAAAATGCACAGATGTTGTCTTATTTTATAAGGCTTACAGGGAATATGGCACCAAAAGGGAGTTGGGGAGCGTTTGGGGAACATCTGTAACGGTTCCCGTTACAATTAGCACTAGTTTATGTTGTATTCCATTTCAAACACGATGCTTCGCACGTTAGCGAGAGCTTCAGCGGAGTCTTCAATGTTTTCTTAACGTACTCCCATGTTCCTATTACATATACATATGTATATGAATTTTCTATCCTCAAGCTTTAAGAAACAGAAAAATGTCGAATAGGAAATGGCAACTATCTTCATTTTTCCAAAAGATTACGAATTCAATATGTTATATATCATTCATAAATAAATTGCTTCCTACATCTAGATAAAAGGTTATTTTTGTTGGTAAATAAATATTCTAGAAAACATGGCCATTCCAGCAGGATATTAGTAATAATTCGCCCTTTATTCAATGGGGGTTTATACCATTACTTTGATATTAAAGTATAACCCAGTACCTATATAATGTTAAATATAAATATTTTTTTAATCATAAAAAAATTATATATCATATTTGTGAAAAAAATAGATATTAAAAGATTGTAACCGCTTTTCAAATTCCGAATTGTTCATCAATTTCCGTATTTGTCCGACTTAAGTCTTTTTTTTTTTTATCTACGTTTACATCTACAATTTTCATGTAAATTTTGTTTTTCTCGGTCAAAGAACGTAATATCTAACGTAAATGAAACTAGCCTATTCGGGAAACTTTTCAGCTGATACACTGTACGGAATAACTAGGCGGGTGGCTTTTGTACTTAAGTTGAATTCAATTTTTAGTAAAATTTGTGGAAAATACTCTTTATAGCATATAGCAATTGCAAATAAGTCAAAGTAAAAGGAAAAAATATATTCCTTCAGCAAATCAGGAAAACAGGTAATTTAAATATATAGATATAAAATATATAAAAATTTGCAATGTGTATTTCCCTTCAGTGTGGGAACTATTACATCAGTGTCAACCCAATAAATATGGCTTTTTATCGCACCTCAACGTTCGTATTTCTCTGTTACGTTGTTTTTATCATGCAGGAAACACTTTCTTCGTGTCCTTATCTCTGGTTTAAGGGCTAGTTGTGGTGCCCTTCTGGCGTTTTGACGAAACCCCACACACGATTGGACGATAAGTGTGATATACGACCCCCTTGACATTGGTTTATTATGCTTCCATACATGTCCAAGTACCAAATTATTTGTATGCAATGAGTATCTTTCACTAACTGTTGATATCACTTTAGTTTATATACTAACAAGTTGTTTTTTTTTTTAAATCTGCAGACGAAATTCTCAATATGATAGATTATATTACTTTACCACATAGTGATTAGAACAGTTTTCGGCACCTGATATAATGACGAACAGAACAAAAGAGATTGCGGTATACGTACGTTCCAAAACGTACATTACGGATTGGGGAGCGTGCTAACGCTAATGGGATCGTGATTTGTCCCGAAAACGAAGCAGATGTGTTATAACAGATAACTCCCGCTGTGAACTCTTCCTAATGAATAAGTAATACCGCCTGTCGAAATTTATTATAGTGGAAGAATAAGTACACGTCATCCTTACCGTACAAGTGCAAATTATGTTTATATGTTTACTTTTTTCTCTCCAAATTTCACTGAAAAAAATCTACTATTCTGTAAAAAGAAGCACACAGGAAACAAATTCCTGTTACTTTTATAAATATTACATTTAAAATATTTTTATATTTTAGGTATGCGACTTCAAGCACCTTCCTATAGTCAGAATACGTCATGTGACCGGAAGCCGTATTTTGGACATTATGGAACCAATCCCATGAATAACGCTTTACATCATGCATCTTATTATACTGAAAAATGTGTCATGTGATATTTTCGCTTGGATAACCAAAGACGGCAGGTTTTATTTGCTCAGAAAACTATTCGTTATCTTATTTTAAGACATGGAAAGTAAAAGTTTCAAAAGTATATTTTATATTTTACGGCTTAAATTGTATTTGTGTGTTTGTAATTTAATGTTGTATGTGAAAATACTGTATAAATTGTGAAAATAATGAAGATTTGAACTATTTAAAATTTTAACATTACAAAAAAATTACTGTATATTTGTATGATATAAACCAACTTTACTTATGTGTTTGTTCATTTATATAAGTTCAGTGACGAAGTGATACAGGGTTTATTGAAAATATTCTTTTAGAAAGTCAACACAGATGATAACCTTATAATGCAAGACAAAGAAAAAAGGTACTCGTATATAATATACATGTATATATAGCAGTCGTTTCTTCTCCTTCTGGCTAGGTTGATATTAAGGTTTCATCTTATATTCCTTATAAGGGCATGCATACCCCCCACCGCCATTATTTTGAAAAAAAATCAGTATTGAACCAAAGATGTAGGTAAATAAGGTAACTATTTTATAAGCTGACAAAATCATCTGGTAAAATAATCCTGAATGATGTTTTTATGCCCCCGTAAACGAAGTTTCGGGGGTATATGGTTTTTGTCGTGTCCGTCCGTCTGTCTGTCTGTCTCTTTGTTTGTCTCTTTGTCCGGAAAAACTTTAACCTTGCCCATAACTTTTGATTTAGTGGAGCCATGACTTTCATATTTCAAATGTTTATTCCTTGTGACAAGATCTTTCTTTGGGTACCACCAAATTTGACCTTTTGACCTCGACCTTCGAGTTTGACCCACTTTTACATGAAAATTTTAAACTTTTACTTTGGCCATATCTTTTGAACAGTAGATACCAGGACATTTATACTTCACATATATAATCTTTGTTAAAAGACCTTTCATTGGATACCAACAACCTTGACCCTTTTGACCTTGACCTTGTAGATCTCTGTACTTGTGAAAAAAACTTTAACCTTGGCCATAACTTTTGAATGGTAAGGGATAGGGCTTTCATACTTCATATGTGTAATCCTTGTGAAAAGACCCTTCATTAGATATCAAGAACTTTGACCTTTGAGACTGGCCTACTTTAAAAAAGCAAACCTTGACCATAACTTTTAAAGCATTAGGGCTAGTGCTTTCATACGTTACATATTTAATTCTTGTGACAAGACCTTTCATTTGATAACGAGAACTTTGACCCTTTGACTCTGACCTTGGAGTTTGACCTACTTTTCGAAAAATTTGACCTTGGCCATAACTTCTGTACGGTTAGGGCTAGGGCTTCCATACTCTACATAAGTATTCTATGTGGCAAGACCTTTCATTTGATACCAATTACATTGACCTTTTGACCTTGACCTTGGAGATTTTTGTACTTATTGAAAAAACTTTAACATTGGCTTACTTTCAAATTTCACAATTGTTTTCCAGTGAGAATATCCTACTTTTGGTACCAATTAATTAAATTTGCATTTAAGAAAAGTTTAATCTTTGCTATGTTGCCATACGGGGGCATCAGTTTTTCACAAACACATCTTGTTTGAAATACAATTTGAGAGAGGCAAAAAATTGGCATTGGAGTGCCTTTCTCTCCATGTTTTAACAGTGTTTGGAACTATCACACAATTCTGATGACTCATTTTAGACTGGCATGTAGTAAATTGAACGAATATAATTTAAGGTACTCCGATCCTCAGCCAGGAAGGATAACTATTTAATTTATAATTCAAAAAGTCTCATAATGAAGCTTGACAATTAAATCTTTTCATGCAACAATTTTATATCTCTCAAAATGCTCCAAAATTCTTTGAAGTTCTCAGAAAGGTCTTGTAAAAAGTCAAAATTTTTACCCCATAATAATATTTTAAAATAACATATTTAAAGAAATTGAGGTTCTTTTAATCTATCCATAAAGAGCAATGTTTATTAACATGATGAAATTAGAAGGGATTTACGGTGTTTTGCAATGACAGGAAAATTTCTATACACGATGCATTTTAAAATGATTGAAGTAAATAATTAGACGAAACTAAAGTACCTTATAAATATGCATAAAAATTGTGCATTTTCTTTAAAGCTTGGATACCTATCATTTTGAGAATCAAGAAGACATTTTTATGAGCATTTTCAATTAGACAATGCCTGATTTTCAGGATCGGAGTACCTTAATTGTTGCTTTCATTACAAAAGGTTTCATTCTAAATTCACAATATGACACTAATTCTACCCAATAGTTTTTCGATCAGAGGTAAATTATGATACAATATTTGAAATTAGAAATTAGAGATCTGGAGGAAATATACAAACTAGTATCTTGATAGTACCTAAACTTTAATTCCAAAATAAACATTTTATTTTGAATTCTTTCCTTTAATTTCTCTCAAAAATCAATGAAAAGCTTTCGGAGAAGAAATTAGTTATTTAAAATAAATCTTGATTAGTTGTATAGAAAAAAATCCTGAATTTGTCTCTGAGTTTTTCTTTTAATTGAATTAAGGGGAATCTTCCTTGTTTTTAGCTTTTTATAATAAAGTGTTACTATAATTATCAAAAAAAAAAAAAAAAAAAAAAAAAGAAAATCCGAATCTTGGACAATATCCACACAGTTCCAGTTTTTGTATTATAGTGTAGCATGAAGACTAGATTTTCAATTTATAGAGAAAAATATTTCTACTTCACTATTGGGTCAGTATAAGATTCTTATTTTTGTTCAGATTTGTTTCACTTCTAATTACGCTTCTTAAATCTAAAACCTTTTTTTCAAATCTAAAAACAGCGAATAATGTCAAATAATGAACGAACAACAATCATCGTCTCCAGGTAAGATTTCGTCAAAGGTCAACATGTTCAAAAATGTATTTTTACAATAGCTCCAAAACAATGTGGTTTATAAAGTTAAAATTTTACAGTTTATAATTATATCATTGATTAACAGATAGAAAGTATCATTTGAAATGCATATAATTTTTTTTAAAATACACCTTATTAATTCCGTACTTATAGTGAATGCCATCATTGCAGAAACAATATATGTTTATCAATGATGGGTAAGTTGACTTAGAAAAGCCTCTGGAAAGTTGTTTTCCAGTTTATTTTGTCCAAATTTTAAGATTTGAAACTGAAAGTACATTGCAAATGGCGGATTTTATAGAGGTCTTGTCTTTATACATGTCATGCTTTCAATAGCAGCCTTTCAGAGACCATTTACGTCCAAATTAATTGCCCTTCATTGATAAACAAACATTATTTCTGCATTGATGGTTTTCACCTAAAGTACATAATTAAGCAGATGCATTTTATTTTAAATATGCAAATTTCTTGTTATATTTTTCTCATTTTTTAAAAAATATTTGTTTTCAAGTAATACTTTCCATCTGTTACTCAATAATATAATTATAAACTGTACAAGTTTTAACTTTACACCTCAATTCAGTTCAATTCAATTCAATTCAACATTTTTTTTTTCTCTTAAACTGCACTTCAGTATAGAGAAGACACAAACATGAAATATGTACAATACAATACTATACAGCATGCCTGAGAAAAATAAAACAAACGATGAAAAATGACAGTGTCATAAATCGAACAACCAACTCTCTCAATAATAAACCCAATAGATTTACATAGTTTAACTAGTTGATTTTTAATGTTGAAGTTTAAATGATGTTCGGACTCAAAACTTTAGGATTTGTATAATATACACTTACCTGGAAGGGTAACTCTTATTAACTACTAGTATATTAATGAATTTACAAACGTTATTGATAACGAATACTTTTTCACATGAAAATAAATTTGAAAACTTGAAAGCACTTGGTCGAGTTGTAAATGTTGATGGGATTAACAATTTTAACTTTACACCTCAGAGTCACATAGATTTGGAGCTATTGTAAAAATAAAGTTTTGGACATGACCTTTACTGAAACCTTAAAATTTAAATAAATCAAAATAACAATCAATTGCACATGATGAGTTTCAGAATCGGTCCTCTACATGTTTAATGCTTAGAAAATAATCATTTCACTAGTGAGTAATTTATTCATATTTATGAAACAATTTGCAAAATAATTGTGTTTTAACTTTTATGTCATTTTGTAATTTTTTTATTTACCGGGTGGCAGTAAATACAAAATTACCTGGTAAATTCATTTACAATAGGGTATTTATATAAAACTTAGTCAATGGAGATGATCATACACAGAGCAGAAAGGATAACTGATCACAAGGCAGAATTTCGTGGGCTGAAAAAAAAAGATACTGGATAGGTTTGTAAAATTTTTTACAAAATCTTTCATATGCTAAATAATTTGCATTTTATTTTTACATGAATTCATCAGCATAAGTAAAATATTTTTAACATAATGCAAATGACCCTTTTTTTTCATTAAATATATATTAAATAACTCATTTTGTCTTTTTCCCTAAGTTAATTATACAATATACTTAATGTTCTTCAGTAACATTAATAAAACATCTTCAGCGTTTTAGACTCCCCCTTTTCTTTTAAAGCTTTCGATCATGTATATAAAAAGTGTATTTGGTTGTTAAAGTTTGTATAAAAAATTAAGTAATTAAATCAGAAGCACAATTAAACACATATACACTTTTTAAAAAGTTTTTATCGTGCATTCTGAACTTTAAAAAAAATAATCAAGACATTTCTTTAAGCTGTTTAATGATAACATTTGTGTATAACTGTCATGGATGGAGATAACCAAAAAAGTCAGGTTAACTAGTAAGTGAAAAAAAATGAAAATGCAATTAAATTTACTAAAATACAGCAGTCAAAGAAAATGACATCATTTGGTGTCGTGAAATTGTGAGGATTTCGATGCAATAGTATTTACACAAAAATCATGAGTGACTGTGAAAAAAAATAATACATACATCATACATGTACCTCTCGTTCATAATGTCCTTAAAATTAGCTACGGAGATTCATCTGCATGGCATTTGCGCAGCTTGGAAAGCCGTACAATCTTCAAAAATGTTGAATAACACCAAAGTTGGCAGTCATTTTGTATTTTATAATAATTTATTGTGTTTTATTACAATTCGAATTTAAAAATGAGAGTAAGTTTGAAAGAATCACA